ATTCCGCCTTGTTTTATAGTTCAAAGAGTCGTGTTTTCGAGGATATCGACATGCACATATATTACGGCCGGGCCATGTTGTAAACACACTTGTCGTGACCGTTTAGCACTCTCGCACAGCTGAAATACATGTAAACGAGGTTGTTGGTGGGTGCAGAGTGATATCAGGTGGCCGCACCCTGCCAGGGAGGGCCGCACCCTGCCAGGGATGGCCGCACCCTGCCAGGAAGGGCCGCACCCTGCTAGGGATGGTCGCACCATGCCAGGGATGGCCGCACCCTGCCAGGGAGGGCCGCACTCAAGGAGGGCCGCACCCTGCCAGGGAGGGCCGCACCCTGCCAGGGAGGGCCGCTCCCTGCCAGGGAGGGCCGCACCCTGCCAGGGCGGGAGGGAGGGGGAAGAAGTAGCAACATTCAACACCGATATACTATAAAACTCGACCATTTTAAGACTGTTACTTGAAGTTTTGTCCAATTAAATTATTATATATTTTCATGAAGGTCTATATTGTGGTTGCCACGATTATACGAATTAATAATTAATAATGATTAATTATTAATTTAATAATAATTTCCACGATTTAATAATTAATAATGATTATTCAATTATATTTCCATCCCTGAATTACGTTAAATTATCCTGAGAGAAGCGTGCAAGTTATTTCTTGATGTAGACTCACATGCCAAGACCAGACACTCTTCTTGTGGAGTGACTGAACATTCTCAAGAATGTTAAGGATGATGGCTAGGAAAGAAGAAGTGGGGGGGGGGGGGGCAGATGTTGGGACGGAAGCCCCTGGCTCTACCCTGAGGGGACTCGATCCTCACCTCCTTTCTACCCCTTTCCTTCCCTAGAGAGAGAAAGAGGGGAGGAGGAATTAAGATGATTGAGAAATACATGTGAAGGAAATTACAGAAAAATGAGGAGTTTTGTGTGATTTATAGCAGCACACGGCTTCGTGTGGAGGGGGGGGGGGAGGGGGGTGATTACCATGTGATGGTTCCGAGGATTAACGTCCCCGAGGCCCGGTCTCTGATCCCAGGACTCTTATGTTGGTGGTCTGATCAAGCAGACTGTTGGATCAGATACCTTCAAAGGTTGATTTCCACAGCGGGGTGCTTATCAAATTCTCTTTTGAACCTTCTTCAAAATTCTTGAGAATGTATGGCCACTCCTCGAGACGAGTGAGTGATCTTGGCTTGTGAGTCAACATCAAGATATAATCTGCACGATTAGATTATATCGATTAATTAACGTAATTTAGAGATGACAATATAATTTAATTATTATTAACTATTCCTGCCCGTGAGAGATAGGGGCAGTTATGTGTATAGGGGCGTTTTTATTTGGGGGGGGGGGAGGAAAGAATATGGAGAGGTACATGTGAAGGAGGAAGGTTTAGAAATGGGAAGTACAGTGTGAGTTATGACAGGAGGCGGACTGTCCGCCTTGCTGACACGATGTGTGGGTGTTGGCAGCTAAGCTAAGCTGGCTCTCTCTCTTGTCAGGGAGCTGTGAGTGTGTGTGTGTGGGTGGTTCTTCACGTATATTTCAGCATATATGGATGTCTATAGATTTCTACTTTGTAGCATTCATATATACGCATCCAGATGCTTTCACACGTGTTCTGATGCTCTGTTATTGTTATCCTCTGCCTGTGGCAAGATAACGGGAAGGGGGGAGAGGGTGTCTCCCCCCCACTCATCCCCCCCTATCCCTGGGGTAGGGGGACGAGGGGGGGGGTCCCTGCCCATGGAGAGTATGTCTGGCAGGCAGGGGGGGGGAGGTAGGCTTATATAGGCCTCACTGGAGTGTGTCGAGGAGTGTGAGAGCCCCACCCCCCCCTTGACACCCCCCCCCCTCCTCTTCCCTGCCTTTCAGGAAGGTGTGGTGGACAGTAATTGACTGTCTCTCCGTTAAGACGGGTGGGACGGCAACTTGACTGGACGGAAGGTTGAAGAGACTTAAAGGCATTAAAAGAATGGTCCCTGTGTGAACAGTCCCCGTGGCGCAGTGGTAAGACACTCGCCCGGCGCTTCGCAAGCGCTTTGGCCTGGGTTCGTATCCTGGCCGGGGAGGAGTGAGCGGGTATACTATTTCAACAAGTGAGGATGAATATTTAGTAAATGTATACAATTAAATACATGTATATACACATACTGAAACAAAATTATACATATAAATGTTGTTATATTCCAAAGCAGGTGTAGAGTTGAAACACACACACACACATACACACACACACACACACACACACACACACACACACACACACACACACACACACACACACACACACACACACACACGTTTGTTTATGAATATAACTATTTATACACTAACCAGCAGAGTATACAATACAAATATCTCTCCCTCACCTCTCTCTCTCCTCTTCCCCCCTGTCTCTCCCTCTCTTTCCCCTCTCTCTCTCTCTCTCTCTCTCTCTCTCTCTCTCTCTCTCTCTCTCTCTCTCTCTCTCTCTCTCTCTCTCTCTCTCTCTCTCTCTCTCTCTCTTCCTCTCTCCCCCACTCCCTCTCTCTCCCCCCTTCTCTCCCTCTCTCTTCCCCCTTTCTCTCTCTCTCTCCCTCCCCCTCTCTCCCTCCCCCTCTCTCCCTCCCCCTCTCTCTCCCCCCCTCTCTCCCCCTCCGTTGTTCACTCACCTCTCTTCATTACCGTCATCTCACAGCGGCGTAATCCCAGCGCACAATGGAGCTTTTGGAAGGCAAGAGAGCGAGAACAAACCGCATTTTGTGGATAACTGGAGGACATATAGATCCCAACGGGAGGTCCCAACGGGAGGTCCCAACGGGAGGTCCCAAGGAGCGTAATTCTCATCTTCCCTATTAGATGCCCGAGAGCTTCCTAGATTCAAAAGGCATCAGTGATGAGTAAAGTGAGGCCGGTGATGAGGAGGTGAGGGAGGGAGGTAGAGAAACAGGGACGGAGGGAGGGAGGGAGGGAGGGAAGGAGGATGGGAAATGGAAGGACGCAAAGAGAGAGGTAAGATATGAGGGAAATAAAGAGATAAAGAGATAAGAAATTATAAATCGATGAAGAGGGAGGGAAGGAGCTGAAGGGTTTATGAGGTGACCAAACAGTAGAGAGAATGGTACTTCAGTAGGCGCCAGGAGCCAGCAAGAGTGGCCAGGAGCCAGCAAGAGTGGCCAGGAGCCAGCAAGAGTGGCCAGGAGCCAGCAAGAGTGGCCAGGAGCCAGCAAGAGTGGCCAGGAGCCAGCAAGAGTGGCCAGGAGCCAGCAAGAGTGGCCAGGAGCCAGCAAGAGTGGCTGGGAGCCAGCAAGAGTGGCCAGGAGCCAGCACGAGCGGCCAGGAGCCAGCAAGAGTGGCCAGGAGCCGGCAAGAGTGGCCAGGAGCCAGCACGAGTGACCAGGAGCCAGCAAGAGTGGCCAGGAGCCAGCAAAAGTGGCCAGGAGCCAGCAAGAGTGGTCAGGAGCCAGCAAGAGTGGCCAGGACCCAGCAAGAGTGGCCAGGACCCAGCAAGAGTGGCCAGGAGCCAGCAAGAGTGGCCAGGAGCCAGCAAGAGTGGTCAGGAGCCAGCAAGAGTTGGCCAGGAGCCAGCAAGAGTGGCCAGGAGCCAGCAAGAGTGGCCAGGAGCCAGCAAGAGCGGCCAGGAGCCAGCAAGAGCGGCCAGGAGCCAGCAAGAGCGGCCAGGAGCCAGCAAGAGCGGCCAGGAGCCAGCAAGAGTGGCTAGGAGCCAGCAAGAGTGGCTAGGAGCCAGCAAGAGTGGCCAGGAGCCGGCACGAGTGGCCAGGAGCCAGCAAGAGTGGCCAGGAGCCAGCAAGAGTGGCCAGGAGCCAGCAAGAGTGGCCAGGAGCCAGCAAGAGTGGCCAGGAGCCAGCAGGAGTGGCCAGGAGCCAAGAGAGTGGCCAGGAGCCAGCAAGAGTGGCCAGGAGCCAAGAGAGTGGCCAGGAGCCAAGAGAGTGGCCAGGAGCCAGCAAGAGTGGCTTGGAGCCAGCACGAGTGGCCAGGAGCCAAGAGAGTGGCCAGGAGCCAGCACGAGTGGCTAGGAGCCAAGAGAGTGGCCAGGAGCCGGCAAGAGTGGCCAGGAGCCAGCAAGAGTGGCCAGGAGCAAGCAAGAGTGGCCAGGAACCAGCAAGAGTGGCCAGGAGCCAGCAAGAGTGGCCAGGAGCCAGCAAGAGTGGCCAGGAGCCACCACGAGCGGCCAGGAGTAAGCAAGAGTGGCCAGGAGCAAGCAAGAGTGACCAGGAGCAAGCAAGAGTGGCCAGGAGCCAGCAAGAGTGGTCAGTAACCAGCAAGAGTGGCCAGGAGCCAGCAAGAGTGGCCAGGAGCCAGCAAGAGTGGCCAGGAACAAGCAAGAGTGGCCAGGAGATTACATAACATCCACGAGGAAGACCCACCCAGAACACCAAGATAACCTCAAGATAACCATACAAGACAAGACCGCACTAGTTGCTTGATCAGCAAGCTATCCTGTGGCCCTTAAGGATCCTACCACAACTGACAGATCTTGAATCCAGAACCAAACCTAACCAATCATGTATATATATATATATATATATATATATATATATATATATATATATATATATATATATATATATATATATATATATATATATATGAGTCATTCCACCCACGCAGAGCCTTGATATAATGACCTTCGTGCGCAGGTAGAGCCTCAGTCCGGCCAATTCTTAGAGTCCACACCCGGGCCAGTCATAGGTAATCTGGCCGGGGTGCGTCATTGCTTTTCTAGGATACTACAACTCTCTCTCTCTCTCTCTCTCTCTCTCTCTCTCTCTCTCTCTCTCTCTCTCTCTCTCTCTCTCTCTCTCTCTCTCTCTCTCTCTCTCTCTCTCTCTCTCTCTCTCTCTCTCTCTGTGACATCAGACTCTCCATTCTGCTAGTGACATCAGACTTTGACAACGTTGACGAGATGATAATGAACATCACTTATTCTTAACATCACACGACGTCATATGTCTCAGAGATGGTATATACCTATAATGGGCCGGTGTGTAGCCTGGTGCTGTTTGTGCATTGATCTCCGCTGTGCCGTCACCCGTCACCACTGTGTCGTCACCCGTCACCACTGTGTCGTCACCCGTCACCACTGTGCCGTCACCCGTCACCACTGTGTCGTCACCCGTCACCACTGTGTCGTCACCCGTCACCACTGTGTCGTCTCCCGTCACCACTGTGCCGTCACCCGTCACCACTGTGTCGTCTCCCGTCACCACTGTGCCGTCACCCGTCACCACTGTGTCGTCACCCGTCACCACTGTGTCGTCACCCGTCACCACTGTGTCGTCTCCCGTCACCACTGTGTCGTCTCCCGTCACCACTGTGTCGTCTCCCGTCACCACTGTGTCGTCTCCCGTCACCACTGTGTCGTCACCCGTCACCACTGTGTCGTCACCCGTCACCACTGTGCCGTCACCCGTCACCACTGTGCCGTCACCCGTCACCACTGTGCCGTCACCCGTCACCACTGTGTCGTCGCCCGTCACCACTGTGTCGTCACCCGTCACCACTGTGTCGTCACCCGTCACGCTACTCCACTGTGTCGTCACCCGTCACCACTGTGTCGTCACCCGTCACCACTGTGTCGTCTCCCGTCACCACTGTGTCGTCTCCCGTCACCACTGTGTCGTCACCCGTCACCACTGTGCCGTCACCCGTCACCACTGTGCCGTCACCCGTCACCACTGTGTCGTCGCCCGTCACCACTGTGTCGTCACCCGTCACCACTGTGTCGTCACCCGTCACGCTACTCCCCTGTGTCGTCACCCGTCACGCTACTCCACTGTGTCGTCACCCGTCTAGCTACTCCACTGTGTCGTCACCCGTCACGCTACTCCTCTGTGTCGTCACCCGTCACCCGTCTCTGGCAGCAGCCCACACTGTGGAGGCTTACTCCATACACAGTTTCAAGTGTAGATATGACAGAGCCCAGTAGGCTGAGAAATCTGTACATCAGTTAATTGACAGTTGAGAGGCGGGACCAAAGAGCCAGAGCTCAACCCAGGCAAGCACAACAAGATGAATACAGTAGAATACATAAAGAGTACATTACAATACATACTCATGTTTTATAATACATACTCTCTGGGTGAGAGAATGAAGGTGAGAGGAGAGACTGAGAGAGAAATGGTCTGGGGGGGGGGAGGGATAGAGGAAGAGAGAGAGAGAGAGAGAGAAGGAGGTGGGAGAAAGAAGGAGGAGAGAAGGAGGTGGAAGAAGGAAGGAGAAAGGGTGAGACCGGGGATGTTGGGGTGTTAAGGATGAGAGGAGGAGGGAAGGAAGAGGGAGAAAGAGATGAATGAAAAGGAGAAGAGGGATGTTTGGGGAGAGAAGTGGCGGAAATATGGCAAGAAATGTAAGAGAAAGGGGGTGAGAGGGGGGGGGGGAAGGAAGGGCGGTCAGGGAAAAGGGAGGGAGAGAGAGAGACCCGGGTACAGCCGGATAACCCCCACCTGGCACCACACAAAGACGCCGCAGAAGACTACATATATGATACCAGATCTCACATTAACACACAACTGCTTTCTGAATCCCCCGGATGGAGTCAGCAAAGTGCTCGGAGCCAGATCGAATTCTTGCCGGCCGTCTGGTGTCCAGTTTTGTGACTCTGCGCATCCGTCTTATCGCACACGAACGGGACGAGACCGATCCGCTGCGAATCCAGTTCTGCTGCCAGCAGATAACCGGTGCTATAGCTGAGGCCGCAGACACGTTTTGGGTATTTATTGCAGCAGTTGGTATGTGTGGGGGGGGGGGGGGCAGAGGGTGGATAATATTTTTTATGCAAAACGACTTCGTAATTTTCACTATGCACACAAGGCGTTGATACTTATCGGTAATATATATATATATATATATATATATATATATATATATATATATATATATATATATATATATATATATATGGCCCGTGGATGCCGTAAGGTATTATATTTCTTCAGCCTATCTATGTCTCGCTTCATGCTGGTCGGTGTTCAATCCCGACCGTCCAAGTGGTTGGGCACTATTCCTTCCCTCCGTCCCACCCCAAATCCTTATCCTGACCCTTCCAAGTGTTATATAGTCGTAATGGCTTGGCGCTTTCCCCCTGATAATTCATTCATTCTCGTTGGGGGAACAATATGTAGCAGAGGATTGATCTGTATTTGTTATTGTTTGGTATCTGTTTAGGAATGTGTTTAATTCGTTCAGATACTCAGTCTTGGACAACACTTCTCAGTGTGTCATCCGTTGTGTGTAAGCTGTCACTGTCACCTTCCAGTGTTGGTGGTCGGTGACATCTCTTAATGTCTTCCTCACTATCATTCTCAATATTCGGTTTCAAAGCTCACTATCTTCGCCTAGTTGAAATACTGTTTAACTGTCCATTATCAATGCCCCAGTTAACATGCTCAATAACCCTCATGAAATTTTCATTTTTAATGTCCAGTCACGAGATATTATAATTATTATTATTATTATTATTATATTTTTTTCAAAATACAAAGGATCGTATTATAGACGAATATGTACTTTGTGTTATAAGCGTTTAAATGTACACAAATGCAAACTAATCAATATTCGACACAAATCAATGAACCATAAACTATTCACTGAATTCACTGAACCTTTGAAGCCAGGTAAAAAGTTACTGTGGTGGTGTAGAACGACTTATCCACCGGCTTCATAAACAGTAGCCTCGTTAATCCACCCGCCAAACCCCCTGTTTATCAGTGAAAAACAATTTACATACAGCTCACAACTGATGAAGTTCGAACTTTTCTCGAACATTGCTTCACAGTCTTCCTGTGTTCGAATCGCACATCTAAAAATGTTTCTCCCACATACTACAGATGCAAATAATTAACAACAGAGTTTAGACACCTAATCGAACAAACGTCTTGTTAGATATTGAGCATCTGGTGATGAGTGACACGCAGGTGGTGGTGGTGGTGGGTGATGAACGCCAGGCAGCTGGTGGTGGGAGCTGAACGCCAGGCAGCTGGTGGTGGTGGGTGCTGAACGCCAGGCAGCTGGTGGTGGGTGCTGAACGCCAGGCAGCTGGTGGGTGTTGAACGCCAGGCAGCTGGTGGTGGGTGCTGAACGCCAGGCAGGTGGTGGTGGGTGATGAACGCCAGGCAGGTGGTGGTGGGTGATGAACGCCAGGCAGGTGGTGGTGGGTGCTGAACGCCAGGCAGCTGGTGGTGGGTGATGAACGCCAGGCAGCTGGTGGTGGGTGCTGAACGCCAGGCAGCTGGTGGTGGGTGCTGAACGCCAGGCAGCTGGTGGGTGCTGAACGCCAGGCAGGTGGTGGTGGGTGCTGAACGCCAGGCAGGTGGTGGTGGGTGCTGAACGCCAGGCAGCTGGTGGGTGCTGAACGCCAGGCAGGTGGTGGGTGCTGAACGCCAGGCAGCTGGTGGGTGCTGAACGCCAGGCAGCTGGTGGGTGCTGAACGCCAGGCAGCTGGTGGGTGCTGAACGCCAGGCAGCTGGTGGGTGCTGAACGCCAGGCAGCTGGTGGGTGCTGAACGCCAGGCAGCTGGTGGGTGCTGAACGCCAGGCAGCTGGTGGGTGCTGAACGCCAGACAGCTGGTGGGTGCTGAACGCCAGGCAGGTGGTGGTGGGTGATGAACGCCAGGCAGCTGGTGAACCTGCACATTTCCTGAATAATGAAATGAGAGAGAGAGAGTGACAGAGAGTGAGATAGAGAGAGTGAGAGAGAGAGAGAGAGAGAGAGAGAGAGAGAGAGAGAGAGAGAGAGAGAGAGAGAGAGAGAGAGAGAGAGAGAGAGAGACAGAGACAGAGACAGACAGAGAGACAGAGCCCCAACATATGACCCATGACATAGCAGTCAATTTTATAGTTTCTTCTCCTCACCTTGTCTATTATTTTTGCCTTTTTTCCTCATAGTCTTCCATATCCCTGTTGTCCCACGAAGTCCACTCAATCATTTTCTATCCCTACAATGGCCTCCCGACTGCATATATCCCGCATTCTTCAACCAATGAAACATTCAGACCAAAGGCCCCATTACCACGTCTTTCAGACGAAGGCAGGAGCCAGGCTGGCCGCTTAACAATGGCATCCAACCCCTCCTTATCGCCGACACGCGGCTTCTCAATTAAATCGTCTTCCGCAGCGAGTCGCTGGCACTTAGTCAAACCTGAATTAAAAATGTCATCGTCGAGCCATCAGCTCCGTTCACGACGGAGCGTTGTAAGGTTGGGGGGCTGGTTGGCACTGTATGGAGGAGCGAGAGGGGAATGTTGTCAAGATGCTGGGTGTATGGTGTGGCCAGGACGCTGGGTGTATGGTGTGGGGCCAGGACGCTGGGTGTATGGTGTGGCTAGGACGCTGGGTGTATGGTGTGGCCAGGACGCTGGGTGTATGGTGTGGCCAAGGACGCTGGGTGTATGGTGTGGCCCAGGACGCTGGGTGTATGGTGTGGCCAGGACGCTGGGTGTATGGTGTGGCCAGGACGCTGGGTGTATGGTGTGGGCAGGACGCTGGGTGTATGGTGTGGCCCAGGACGCTGGGTGTATGGTGTGGCCCAGGACGCTGGGTGCATGGTGTGGGGCCAGGACGCTGGGTGTATGGTGTGGCTAGGACGCTGGGTGTATGGTGTGGCCAGGACGCTGGGTGTATGGTGTGGCCCAGGACGCTGGGTGTATGGTGTGGCCCAGGACGCTGGGTGTATGGTGTGGCTAGGACGCTGGGTGTATGGTGTGGCTAGGACGCTGGGTGTATGGTGTGGCCAGGACGCTGGGTGTATGGTGTGGCCCAGGACGCTGGGTGTATGGTGTGGCCAGGACGCTGGGTGTATGGTGTGGCCAGGACGCTGGGTGTATGGTGTGGCTAGGACGCTGGGTGTATGGTGTGGCTAGGACGCTGGGTGTATGGTGTGGCCCAGGACGCTGGGTGTATGGTGTGGCCAGGACGCTGGGTGTATGGTGTGGCTAGGACGCTGGGTGTATGGTGTGGCCAGGACGCTGGGTGTATGGTGTGGCTAGGACGCTGGGTGTATGGTGTGGCCAGGACGCTGGGTGTATGGTGTGGCCAGGATGCTGGGTGTATGGTGTGGCCAGGACGCTGGGTGTATGGTGTGGCCAGGACGCTGGGTGTATGGTGTGGCCAGGACGCTGGGTGTATGGTGTGGCCAGGACGCTGGGTGTATGGTGTGGCTAGGACGCTGGGTGTATGGTGTGGCCCAGGACGCTGGGTGTATGGTGTGGCCAGGACGCTGGGTGTATGGTGTGGCCAGGACGCTGGGTGTATGGTGTGGGGCCAGGACGCTGGGTGTATGGTGTGGCCAGGACGCTGGGTGTATGGTGTGGGGCCAGGACGCTGGGTGTATGGTGTGGCCAGGACGCTGGGTGTATGGTGTGGCCAGGACGCTGGGTGTATGGTGTGGCCAGGACGCTGGGTGTATGGTGTGGCCAGGACGCTGGGTGTATGGTGTGGCCCAGGACGCTGGGTGTATGGTGTGGCCCAGGACGCTGGGTGTATGGTGTGGCCAGGACGCTGGGTGTATGGTGTGGCCAGGACGCTGGGTGTATGGTGTGGCCAGGACGCTGGGTGTATGGTGTGGCCCAGGACGCTGGGTGTATGGTGTGGCCCAGGACGCTGGGTGTATGGTGTGGCCAGGACCCAGAGTGGTCTTGCATGGCGGGGAAAGAAGCGGTCTCAAGGCGCTTCTTAACTGGTAACACTCTTAATGTTACCAGTTAAGGTAACATTAAGACTGGCTTATCAGCGAGAGTATAGTTGGCGCGGCCACCAGCACTGTCCTGTAGATACTCACTTAGTTGTGCTTGTGGGGGG